GAAACAGACAATGTCATGGTCCCAATTAACCAAGGAGTCAGATGTATTTTCAAAATCAAGTGATTTTGCACATACTCTAGTTAACCCCACCATCCTGAAATGAATTTATTTAGCTTTAAAAATATTAATATTTAAATAGGCTAGGGTGTTTTTGCAGAACTGTTTGTGTTGTGTGTGGGTTTTTTTTTAAATTTTAAGGGTAAGTGCTTGATTCTATCAACTACACATGAACACAAATCTGAGAAAAGAGGCAATATTCAAAAGCATTTTGCATGGGGCTTCTTTTGAAGTTTTTGGCTCCATTTTCCTTCTGAGTGCTAGAAGGAGCCTTGAGGGAGGCAACCAGCAAACATAAGGAGAGGGCCTGACAAAGGTGATGTTTAACAGGGCCTACAGGCCTGGGTCTTGTCAGGCCTTCTGGAATCCTCCCCCTCATGATATCCTCTGAGGTATCTTCAGGGGTTCTGGGTATAGCTCAAGTCCCAAATGCCTGTAAAGAATTCCAGCACTCCAGAGGTTCAAGATCCAGCCCCCATCTCTGACCATGTAGCGCCAAGTTGCCATGCACATAGAAGTTTTGCCCGAAGTCAACATGGTTGTCGGTGGGCAGTCACAGGCTGAAGGCTCACCCACTGTCCAGAGCCAATGAGAAATCTCGAGTTGTGGACTCTATTCTCCACCTTTCTCTTTGGTTTCTCTGTACAGTTGGCCCTCTGTGTCCATGGATCCTCCATCCACATATTCAAAAGAATATGGGGCTCATGTTTACTACATATTTAGGTCTATAATGGCTGTGTCTGTGCTAAACATGTACAGCCTTCTTTTTCTTGTCATTATTCCCTAAAAATTACAGTATAGCAACTATTTACATAGCATTTACATTGCACAGAGTCAAGAAAAAGTGGGTTTATGGTTGTGAGTTGCAAAACATAGAGTATTCTTGTGTTATTATTTATTAATTATTATATTATTTTCCATTGAAACAACTGTAAATGTATTTTTGCCCTACCATGTATTTGAAGACTATTTAAAGTATGAGGGAGGGTGTTCATAGGTTATATGTAACTACTACACCATTACTATATAAGGGACTTGAGTTTCCTTTTAGTATCTGAGGGAGGTCCCTCCGAGATATTGAGGGAGAACTATATCTGCTTTTCCCTACTCACTCTTTGTCAGCCCCTAGTTTCACAAGAATGAAAAGAAGGACAGATAAATTCCTAAATTATTTTGTTTGCTGATTTTATTTTAAAAGAATATTTTAAATAAGCTAAACAAAATGTGTAGGTTCTCCTAAAACAAAATAGCATTCACTATGTGTTTCCTACGACAGATCAGTTCTTGGAAAGTTGATATTTCTTAAATGAGAGAATTTTTAAAAGGCTGAAAAATGAAACTTAACAGTAGAAAACTCTGTATCTCCATTAATGTGAACTGTTGTTGAGTATGAGGAAGCTCTTTGGCAATGCCAGCCCACCATTTTTACTTCTAGATGAATGGGCCTACGTCATTTCTTTTCTTTACACCTTCTTTAGCTCCATTCATGACCTAGGTGTTCTAAAAATCCTAATACAAAGATATATAAAATAAAACCATGCAAAAGAAGATAAAAATTACAGGTAGAGCCCTGGCTGGTGTGGCTTAGTTCCTTGGAGCATTGTCCCCCACACCAAAAGGTTGCAGGTTTGATTCCCAGTCAGGCACATACCCAGGTTGTGGGTTCAATCCCCAGTCAGGGCTCATACGGGAGGCAATTGATGGATGTTTCTTTATCTCTCCATCTAACTTCCTCTCTCTCTAAAATAAATAATAACATGTCATCAGGTGAAGATTAAAAAATAATAGGTAGAAAATTATCATTTGAGCCTCCAAATTCAATTTAAATCATATTTGTACTTCACCTACTTTTCATGTATACACAAAATGCAAGTTAATCACTTCTTACATGCCTCATATCCTTCATCTCTTTGCACAAATTTAAAAAATATTAATAAACAATTCAAATCAGAATTATTATAATTAACGAGACTATCAAATGTCCTCCCATATAGTTAAACAACATTACAATGTCCTATCAACTTGGAAAAAAATGCTTCTGAGAACAATTAATGTGAAGACTGTATGTAGAAAATTATAAAGTGAAATGAACTTGATTTATAATCTCCCCACATTGTCTCATTTTATCTCTTCCTTTTGCCCTATACCCATTAAGAATTGTAAGCTTTTAAGATATGAAATTATTAAATTAGCTTTGTCTTTCACAGTTATTAAAAATAAGAGTTGAAGCCATAAATTTTATTTGACATAGATTTTTAAAAATTAAAAAAGGAGTAAATTTGCTTTAAATTGAATACTAGAAAATTATCAAAATTGACATTTCCAGTAAAGCCAGAGATGTATAGAGAATAGACATACCAGTCGAACTCTTATTCCTGAATGTAAAAAAAAAATACCACTTGAGACTCAGGAGTCATGAATGTTATCCTGCTTCATATCATTTATTCCGTCCCCATGGTATTAGCAGGCGTCTACAAATCCTATCTGGCAAAGGTGAAGAGGAGAGTTGTATCACTGGGCATGCTGCAACAGTAATTATAGGTTAACTCTCAATTATCATCAATTTTGGATCTACTTTTTGGGTTACAGAGGGAATCTGAGAGCCCCTATGATTTTGTTAGCATCTGATAGTGTCTTTCTTTTATCTTCCAGAGTCAAAAGTAAATATCATTAGATTATACACTTGTGTTATCAGCATTTTTCCTCCCTTCCATTTATGTAAAATTGAAGTTAAAAATAACTCAGAGCATGCCCTTTCTCTGAAGAGCCCACCCATACATGGTTAACAGCACATGGGAAGAAATTCAATCCTCGAATCCCTAAAAGCTATAAAGGGCCTGGATCATTTTTCCACGTGCAAGCTTTGTTTTAGAAGCATACAAAGCTCATTTTGGAGTCAACTGGAGAAGTCTGTGACATACAACACACAGACTGATTTTAACAGATGGATTTTTCTTGAAATAACTCCATTAGTTAATCACTTCTTTTACATATACTTTTTCTAGCTAATTGGTGTAGCTGCCAGCTGGAGTTATGAAGAATCTTGCAAAGAAGCTGGTAGGTAAGGAGAAAATTCAATAATTTCACCAATTTTAGGATGAAACTTCTATTAATGTCACTATTACATATTTGAAAGTAAAATTGTTTTCTTTATTTTTTCTCTCCATCTTATTCCAAAAACCTTACCTGATCTGTGTTTAAACCAAGTTAATCATCTATAAGAAACTTTAATAAATATAGATCATGGTTTCCCAAACCTGACACTATTGACTATTGTCCTTGTGGACCAGATAACTGTATGTGCCGTGGTGTGTGAGTGTGTGTGTGTGTGTGTGTGTGTGTGTGTGTGTGTGTGTGTGTGTCCTGTGCACTGTAGGCCATTAAACAGCATCCCTGGCTTCTACCCACAGGATTTCAGTAGCATCCCCAGTTCTGACAACCAAAAAAGTTCTCCAGACATTGCCAAATGGCCCTGGGGGCAAAACTGCCCCAGCTGAGAACCACTCTTCTAGAAATAGGTTGTTCCTAATTTTTAATTCAATTTTTAAAATAATTTTTAAAATAATTGGTTGTACACATGTAATTGTGTATCTAATACCAGACATGTCTAACATAATACGAATTGTTGCCTTTAGTCAGGTAAATGAAATGGGTTTTGGGGGAGGGGGCAGGGGATTATTTAAGCTGCTAACACTTTCATAAATCTCTCTGGGTAAAGAAAAAAATAGACAAAATAAGTGGTTTATAAGTACCAACGAATATTAATTATCTAAGGAGTATCATCATCATCTTCATCATCAACATTATTAAAGATTTCTTTTTCTTTAAGGAAGGTCCTCAGTCTACATGAATAGATAAATAACAAAATCCTGTGCTGGGATCATTTGAGGTATAAATGGTAAATTATCAACATAGTCGCCTAAGGCATTTTTAAATTCAGGAAAGCAGTGCAATTTAATGAAATGGACGTTGAGAAAACTGTGTCTGTTTTGACTTTACTCTGAACTTATGGAGTAATTTCAAGTTCACAAAAGGATTAGACATTTAGACACAGACATTTCTGGGTCTTTGAAATTCAGTGGTAAATATAATGTTCCCTACCTATTTACCCCTTAGTGATTTTTCCCTGGTTTATATACGCATGGATCCAGGAAGAGAACCAGAGAAATAAGGTGCTAATTAGCCTGCCTTTAAAAGGGAAACAACCCGTAGTGGTTCTCAACCTTCCGAATGCCATGACCCTTTAATACAGTTCCTCATGTTGTGGTGACCCCCAATTTCATTGTTACAAATTGAACATAATTAAAGCAGAGTGATTAATCACAAAAACAATATGTAATTATATATGTTTTTCCCCTGGTCTTAGGCGACCCCTGTGAAAGGGTCGTTTGACCTCCAAAGGGGTCGCGACCCACAGGTTGAGAACCGCTGGTTTAGAGTGAAGGTCAGACTATAACAACATAAAGTATGTAGACAGAATCATTCATTATGTTAAAAAAGTGCTAAGTTCCATCCGAACTGCTATCCTTCCAGAAAATGTTTGCTAACACAGATTAGCTCAAGCAGGCTTTTAATATAGGATAAATTTAACATGTATCAATTCCATGTTTGAATGTATAATTTCTCTCTCCACCTCAAGATAATTACCTAAACATTTCAGTATCTGTTTTCTTTAGCCTTTCCAGAGCCATTGTAAGAATTGAGACTTTCCATTTCATTTAAAAAAAATCATTCTTCGTCTTAAATGAATAGGCTATATTGTGCAGATTTTCCCTTTGGGTTCTAGAGCACACTATTTTCTGTCCCACCAACACGTTTTGAGATTTCAACTAAAAGGACTGGCGGGCAGGTACTACCTCTGTGCGTGATGTGTGCATAAGAGCTTCGTGTAATTTTAAGTCACACACTGACCCTTAGACTAGCACCGGATCTGCACAACTTACTCTCTGCGGGTTCCTTCGACTTGCGGCCGCTGGACGACTTCCTCAGCAGGCTTCGCCCCGAGGTAAAGAGGCTGGTTAGTTCTTCCAAAGGACTCGTGGGCGTCCTGGAGCGGGAGCCGCTGGGAGCCGCCCCGTAGGTGCTGACGGAGGCGTTGACCATCTTGCTCCCATCCTGCGACACTGGCCTGGGGGTCGAATGAGGCACTGATGGAGAGCTCCTGGAGAGGCTACCAGAATGCAGGGCGTCGTAGGGGGGAGGCCTTTTGAGGCTGAGGGGGGTGAGGGACCTCCCCATGCTCACAGGGGACGGGGAGGCCGAGTGACTTTTCGGGTAGCCGTGGGGGGACTGCGTTCGGTACAAAGTGGACGGCGGGGGAGGGGACGAGGAGAGCACGGCGGCGGCGGCAGGTCCCAGGGCCCCGCTCTGGTCCTTGTCCAGTTTAGGGTGGCTGGAGGCGTGGGGGGGTAGCGAGGATGGAGACGCTCCGGCCTGTTTCATGTAAGACACGTTTTCCAGCACCGGGAGCTTGGTGACCTCCAGCGGGGTGAGCGGAGACTCGTCAGAATTGGGGGAGCACTGCACGGGGGCAGGTGGGAACACCAGCAGGGGGGGTCTATGGGAAAGCAGGTTGGGGAAGGGCGGGGGGATGTCACAAAGCAAACCCTTTGGAGTGCATGGCACTGAGGACTTGGCGAAGTCCAAGTCAGGCACGGTGGGAGTAGCACACTGCGAAGAACAACTGTGATGGTCAAGGTCACATCTGGAGTCTGGGCCCAAGTCGTCAAAAATGGGGTATTTCATTTCCTCGTAGACAGCCTCGCTCTGGTCGTCATCCTCTTTCCTGAAGTCTCGGAGGATGTTCCCCACCATCTCGATGTACACGGGCTCCTCGTCCTCGGGGTCCCCCGCGGGGCTGCTCATCTGGGAGAGGGAGGCGTCCCGCGTGAGCGAGGTCCTCCGGGGCGCGTGCTTTTTCATGTACGTTTCATCAAAAGACGTGCTGAGCTGGGTGTTCGGGTTCCGTTTGGGTTTTGGAGGAGGAATCTTCTTGGAATACTCGTCACTGTTGGGTCTCGGTTTGGCTGAAACTAAAAAAAAAAGGGGGGGGGAATAAAATCCATGAATACAATGGGAAAGTTTTCAAAAGTAATTTGCACTTGGGCTTACTATTACACACTTGGGATGGGAGGGGTAGTCTTCTTCATTCCTAGCTTGAGACTTAGCTGGTATGGCTCACGGGTTGAGCCTTGACCTATGAACCAGGAGGTCACGGTTCGATTCCCAGTCAAGGCACATACACTGGGTTGTGGGCTCGATCCCCAGTAGGGGCGGTGTAGAAGGCAGCTCATCATTGATATTTCTATCTCTCTCTCCCTCTCCTTTCTTCTCTGAAATCAATAAAAAGTATATATCTTTTTTAAAAATCAAGCAAAAGTCCAATATATCCCACAGTTAGGAAAAAAAAACTGGTAATGGAATAATCGTAATATTTATCTTCAAACTCATGTTAATAATCCTGCACTGCTAAATGCATTGTAACCAGGACTACTTGTCCCTCTGTCTCAGAATTTCTAAATAGAAACCTTCAGATGGAACACTTGGATAAAAACAATCACAAATGTCATAAAAATTCATCTTGAAGAATTAAGGGAGAAACTCACGGGGAAAAAAATAGAGTTTCTGTTAGCACAAATAGTCAAAAAATATTATGGGGACTGAGTCCTTTTAATGATGTGGCTATTGCACATAATCACATCTTGCTTTCAGTTAGGATAAAAATGTTCCAGCATGCTAGACTTAATCTCTGCCTTGGTTCAGACAAATAACTTCTATAGAGATGGGTCTGATACTTCAGGAGAAATTGATGTGAAAACCTTATGAGTCTAGACAAGTTAATCTCCAAATCTTCAGGTATTGTTGATTATGGTGTATTTGTCTGTGTTTGTTCATAAGACTTCTTATGATATCCCAAATGCTATCTTGGAATGAATTTATTAGATATGTCTGGACACATAAAAACCCCATCAAGAGTTTTGCCAGAGAATAATCCAGAGGAGACATGTAAGTTTCAGGAATAATTTTTGGAAGTTCACAGATATGGGGACCAGTGCATCCCACAGCCTGCTGGAATCCCCTATACTCCCTTGTCTTTGTGATGGAAAATAAACTTCTGACACCATACAGTGGGGTGGAACGGGCTGGCTGAACACGTCTGTGACTGAAATTAATTGTTTAGCACACAAGGAAGGTACTGGAGTCTTGTTATCATCTCATTATCTCATCGTGTTGATATATGATTACAGTGATTATCATTATTATGCAATGTAGCAGAATGTAGTTGTTTGTGGTAAATGGTAGCATATAATGTAAGGTGACAGTAGAGTTTCTAAGTGTAAAACTATAAGAAAATAACAGGCTTCTTTCTCTATAATTGCAGCCTTAAGGGGGGAAGGTCTCAAGGCACAAATCAGGAAACACCTGAAATTGCCTTTGTTTTTATCGACTAGCATGCTTAAGACACGGGAACTTTTCTAAAACTTACTGAAGGAGAAGCAAAGATTAGTTAGGCAGCTGCTTTACAAATCAGTCATGTCTTCAGATAAAGGGAACCAATCAAATATTCTAAAAGTGTATATGTCTCTCACTTTTCTAGAACATATCTGCTTTCAAATATTCTGTTCCATTGTGTCCATGATGTTTATTTTACTGACTACAACCAAAAAATTTTTGAACTGAAGGTTCTTAATGTGTCTAGACATTTTCTTTAACTCATAGTAGAAAAAAAAACAAAAAAAAAAAAACTAGATGACATTTTCCAGGGGGTATAGCAGTGGAGTCTTTTGGTGCCAAAAGGGAAAAACCTAGAGACATAATTGGGTGAAAAATACTCAAATAATTCTTTAGGAGGGTCATACTGGTCTAAATTATTATTTTTGGAAATCATTGTATATTTTAATTTTCACAATTGAAATAAGTCATCAGATTATGTACAAAAATCTGAACCCACAAGTAAAGTTATACATCCTTGAGCAGGGTTGACTTAGTTCTGGAAGGACTTTGAAAGAATCAGGACTGAGAAGAACAAATGCCCACCCAGACTATTCTTCTGAAGCTTGTTTCCTGCTCTTTTCTATCTCTTACCCTAAACTGAGTAATTTGTGCTCTGGAAAAATATTTGCCTTTGACTACTAGGTTCCAGAGATTGAAAAGTTTGGGATTGGGGGAAACCACAGAGGAAGGCAGTCTGAATAGTGAGGTGCTTTATGAATGGAGGTGTCCATGTGATGGATAACTTCATTACATGGGAATAATTAAACTTAGAATAACATTTTCATTTATCTCCCTCCTAAATTACAATTCACTTTTGTTTTCTTTGACCCTTCACTAAACTCAGACATTCCAACTTAGACGTGAGTAGTTGCATGGAGAGAAATAAGGGGACAGACAGAATTTAAATATCTACTGACCCCAAGCCTAGGTAACAGAACTACATTAGGGGGAGGTCATAGTCCAGAGTCCCAGGCAGTGAGGGGGTCAATGGTAGAGCTAGGAATCACAAGCTACTCAGGAAAACAGCCTCCTCATAAATAACCCTACATAGACTAGAAGGTGGCCTTTGGAATGAGCAAGACCAATGCTTGGGTTACATTCAAAATGTCAGCAAAGAACATTCACTTTTTTTTTGCCAAAAGAAACAGAAAAAATGAAGTAAAGACCCTTCTTACTTATAAAATGATTGAAAAAATAGAAGGTTCTTTTCTAGAACACAATGTAGTTAGAATTAAGGTAGAACAATTATTCATTAGAAAGTAATTTAGAGAATACATTTGTACTGTGAGGATAATGTCAATGCCTAACCAAGTACAGATATTATCTGACTAAGGGGAATAAAATATAATATGTAACTCTGAGATAATCAAAACTGACAATTGCTATGGATTGAATTGTGTTCCCCCAAATTCATGTTGAAGTCCTAGCTCCCAATGTTATGGTTCTTGGGGATGGGGTATGTGGGGGATAATTAAATTTAGATGGGATCATAAGGGTTCAGCTCTCATAATGGATGGGATTAGAGCCCTTATGAGAAGAGACACCAAAGAGTTTGCTTGCTCTCTCATTCTCTCACCATGTGAGGACATAGCAAAGAGACAGCCATCTACAAGCCAGGAAGAGAGTTCTAACCACAAACCAACCATGTTGTCACCTTGATCTTAGACTTCTGGCCTCAAAAACTGAGAAAATAAATCTCTGTTGTCTAAGCCACCCAGTCTTTGGTAGTTTATTAAGGAAGCTCAAGTTGACTTAAATAGCTGTGTATTTATTGAGCCTTCCGTAAAGACCCTGTAAAGCTGAGTGAGTGATGAGCAATCATTTTAATTTCTTCCTCTGGAATTGGAGTACTTTAACTAGCTTTGTTATTTTAAGAATTAATACAACTCGCCGAAACTGGTTTGGCTCAGTGGATAGAGCGTCGGCCTGCGGACTGAAAGGTCCCGGGTTCGATTCCGGTCAAGGGCACGTACGTTGGTTGTGGGCACATCCCCAGTAAGGGATGTGCAGGAGGCAGCTGGTCGATGTTTCTCTCTCATCGATGTTTCTTTTTTTTTTTTTTTAATATATTTTATTGATTTTTTTTTTACCAAAAGGAAGTGTTAAAAGACAGAAAGAAAAAAACACCGGGGGGGAGAAAAAATGGATCGGTGGCTCCCGCGCACCCCCCCAGGGGGGGTCCCCCCCCGCACAAAAGCTTCGTCCTGGTAAACACGGAGACTAGTGTGGGTGGGGGGTTTTTGGTTGGGGGAAAGGTCGGGGGGGGGGGGGGTAGGTTTCCCCCCAGGTATTTTTTCCAAAGCCGGGGGGCAGCCCCCTGT